CGCCGCGGCGATTGAGGAATTCTCACTGTGCGCGGCGCAGAGAAAGGCGAAAACCTTTTTCTCTTGATGCCGATAATTAATGAAACGCCCGAACAAGAGCAGGAAACTCGTGCTTGTAAATTTGGCCAATAGAAAACTATTACGGTCCCCATCGATAAATCAAAAAACTTTATGATCGTTGTTAACTCTGGCCGTATTAGAAGTGTGCGTCTGTCAACTGTCCGTCTCGTATATTCGGATAGTACCTCGGGTCGAGTGCAGTGTGTAGAAAGCCAGCAGAGACAATATCCACTCTAGTGACAAAAAGCTGACCAAGCGTGCAGAGCAGTAGGAGCGTAAATCAGAGGGAGCTTTTCGCGCACGGGCGGCAAACTAGGATAGGAAAGCAACAGGCGGCGGCGTTGTCTCCATTAGAATTCCGAGTGGCTGCACTGCCGCGCCACGCAAGCTTTTGCTCTCTTGGCCGCCTTGACTGCTTGAACTCGCGCCAACTGTTACCCCCCCCCCCCCCCCCCATCTGTTTTTCTCACTCTCCCTCTCTCTCTCTCTCTCATGCTCATCTGTATCTACTTACCAGGTTCAGCCAATTGTTTGCTAGATTTTTATAGCCCGACAAGTTTCGTTTCACTCGCTCGCTTCGACCTGTTGAATTTTGCTGACATTCTTCGTATGAACCGCAGAACTTTCTTTAGGATATTACTCTTCTGGCTTAATGCATTGGCCACCTGTTAAAACTGCACAACTCATTGCTGCATGGGACCCAATTGTGCAAACATTAGTGGGACTGCTTTAGAACCGATCTCGATGATAATTTTTAAGGTTGACGCGGCAATGCCACGGAAGTAATAATCTGAGTTGCTCGAATGGAAACAAGGTGCGCTGACTGCTCGCGATACGGCATGTCAACACACGCTGGCGTTAATCTGATTTTCATTGTTGACACAGTTCGCGTGTCGAGACTAACCCGGCATCTGAATCGCTCTAACCAAAATCAGCTGACATGCTGTGTTTAACTACCTCGTTAACGACGAGGTCGGGACTTTATGCTGATATGAGTATCTTCGCTCACTGAAGATTATCCGCGAAATATAACATCAAATAATAATCGTTATTGGTGTAATCTCTGGGAAAAGAAAACGTCGGGTATATAGCAGGACGCGCGGCGCGTCGTGTAAAAGAAGAGCAACTATGCGAGAGAAGAGAATGAATCTTCCATACCTCATACGCCGACTAATAAAGTCGACCGAGTACCCGCGTACATCACAACTCGCGGCGTAGGGATAATAAAAACGTCCTTAACGAAGATCCTCTCTTCTGGTATGCGGCGCCGGAGTAAGAAAGAAAGAGAAGGGAATGGGCGTTCGCGCATGCCTTGCTAATAATTCAGTAAGCCCGGGTTAAAACTCGTATAAAAATGCAGACGAGCACGAGGTATGCGCTGCGCGTGGTCCTTGTTTTTTTTTTACTCTAGGTCAACCAACGCGTCCCGCCGTCTGCGCTTTATATTTCTGTTTTTGAACTAGCCACACACGCGCTTTGTAAGTAATTTCGATTATTTACCCTTTTATTATGTCTATTTTGCTTTTTTTGATCACATGACGTACCGCGTACCAAAGTTTTTCTCGAGGACACAGCCCTCTCTCTCTCTCTCTCTGTATAGTAGTACTTTATCAATTGCTTATCAATTGCTTTTCGATAACAATTATAAGCTATAAAAGAAGAATATCTGTGAATTGATGGGGTGGCTGTTGTTTATCGGCATATGTGCCTTGCGCAACACCGCTGTTAAAAATCACTCGAAAAAGTAAAGAAATGGATGAAAAAAGAGGAAAAGAAGGTAGGGTATTCCATTACAAACGCAGCCCCATAAATCTCGAATACAGAGCTCGTGTGTAAGTGGGAACCCTCGTTTCTGCGCTGGCTTCGCTTTTCTCTTCGTCTTTTTATTCCCATCGAGAGGCAGGGCAGCGAGCGGGCGACGTGGACACGTCGATCTCCGGCGAGCAGCAGCGCACCATCGTCCTTTTTAATCCCCCCGAGGCGCAAAAGATGAAACGGCACATCTCCCAAGGCGGCGGCAGCGGCTGCTGCACAATGAGCACTTTCCAGAGAAAGAGAGAGAGAGAGAGAGAGAGAGAGAGAGAGAGAGAGAGAGAGAGCACCAGCACGGCCTTTCTCCGTTGCTCTTTTTTCTCGGCTTCGGACAGCTATGCAGCGTGTGTAGTGTCGCTTCTAAATATCGCCTGACCGTGACTAGCCTTCCCTCATGATCGATGGCTCGGCGCGATAGACTGCTAAGCAGATGTCACCTCGACTCCCTTTTCAATTGATTGAAAATCCAACGAGCATATTAATCGTCGACTAGGTGTGCAATCCACAGATGGTCTTCGACCGAGCATTGCGAATCGAAGTTACAACAAGTTAACGTTCGCGAGTACGATGGAAACAATTAAAGCGAGCGAGAGAGACTATTCGCGCCTGGGCATAAATCACGAAACACAAAGTCGCTCGGGCGCGCATTGCTTTTTCTAGCTCCACTGAATCGCCGTGCAGAGAGCGATAATTGATAAATCGCGTGCGCAAATCCAACGGCGAAAAGCAACGTCAATAAAGCGTTGGGCGCGCGCGGTATTTACTCATTTGAACGCTTAAAGCAAGGCTTAAATGCGGCCACGATGCAAACTGACTGCCCGAGCTGCGATCGCAAATCCAGCTTCGGCGAAAAACCACACCTTTGCTCCACTCCCTTGCTCGTACCGCGCGTGTTTACTGTGTGCGCGTGCGCGTGTGTGTGCAGCGAAGAAGAAACGACGGTTCGCTAGCCAACTGCCAAGCGTTAAACTGGCGATGCGGCTTCCTTTTATCGAATTCTCAGCACTTCCTAGATTGCGTGAATGGTCTTTGCATCGCGTACGAATGCGGCCTGTGCTGATCACGCGACGGCCATTGGCGAAATAAGCAATCTCTCGCGGAAGTATAGAATTGATGCTACAGATGTAAAAGCTCTGGCTGGATTTTCTCATTGGGCGTTCTTTCTTTCCTCTTCTCGCTCTGCCGCATCCGTGAGCGCTCACGTGCCCACGCCACTCCTTGCGCGCAGAGCAATTTATCAAGATGCGAGAGTGTTCGCGCGACCCCTTTCCAATCGCCAAGACAATGGCGGCCAATCAAACGGCGAGCTTTTCAATGCTTGCAGCCTCCTCTCCAAACTGTTTGTTTTTCCTTTCTTCCGCTCCCGCTTCGCTCTGCCGAGTGCTTTTATGCTAGTAGGGTCTTCCCAGCGTGCGCCACCTCACAATTTAGCCCCTCTCTCTCCGTCCTTTGACGGCTAAGCGATTTTTGATATTGCCCAAACTTTTTGACGCTCTCTGCCTAATGGCTATGGCTTTGCGCACCGGTGGGCGAATTTGACGTGTTTTTATTTTCAATTTCAAATATGTTAACGTATTGTTTGTTTTGTTTGGAAGATACCGTGTGAATCGGAAATATACCTTTAATGTTTTATTTTTGGAAAAAGCTTTTTCAAAAAAAGCTATTTTGTAAATACTCTTGTAGCTAATCCTTTATTACATCGCGATTTTCATCGAATGAAAAGTATCGGTACGTAAAAATCTGCGAAACGCGCGCAGGACTATAATTAAAATTGCTGTTCGAGAATAAAAAATACAACAATAACCAAGCATAACGAGCTACTTGATATTGCGTCACATTGCGTCGTGCGTAAGGATCAGACCGGGTGAAAATCTCCTTAACGTGTTCCCTAGAGAACGTTGATTCTTCTTTCTCTTCTTTTATAAAAAAAAAAGCATTAGGGTATGGAGGGGGGGGAGGGGGTGAAAAGGAATAAGACGAAGAAAAAAAACGAAAGGATCGGATCGATGGGATATAAGAGGAAAACGTGACAAGAGAGGCAGTGGCGCACGATCGACGTGAGGAAGTAAAAGAGGGGACACACGATGCGCGGATAATACCCGTCTTTCCTGGCTTATTCCCCGCGCCAGGAATTGCGTTTTCCAATCAGTTAAACCTACTATAGACGAGTTTTTTTCCTTCCTCTTCTCTGAGCAAGAAAATCCTCCGTAACGTCGCGCGGATAAGCCCAAGCATTCAATTTACAATCATTCTATACGCTACATCTAATTAAATACATTTTTGTTTGGCTCGCGCGAACGATAATTAAAAAAGAAAAATGCAACGAAAGCATTAAAAAATCGCCCGTGTTATACGCCGAGGGATGTTATGCACACACGCGCGCGCGCGCGCGGGTAGACGTGCTGCGGTATAGCAGCCGAGAAAGGAATATATCGTGAAAAAAATGAGCGAAGGGTGGTGGTAGTAGTAGTAGCAGCGACTGGATTTCGAGGGGATGTGCTCGGTCTCTCGCGAGTAGATTGAGCTGTGATTGAAAACTCAGCCTGGGGCAGTGTAGCGCGAGCGGTGCTTCGATTTAAATGTCAGGCAGGCAGGCAGCACTGCTCGAGCTCGCCTTGCATATCGCATTGCCCGTTTGAGTACCAATTTTCGTGAGTTAAACTCAGCTCCACGAGAGGCGGCTACATTGTACGTCGACTTTTGCCCCGCAGAAGAATCAGCTAGTTTTCTCTCTCGTGTGTTTTTTTTTCTTTATTCGCTGAGCTTCTTCCCTTTAAACCCGCTCTTTTCGGCTTGTCTACGTCCTCTTTTTCTTTTTGCAAAATGTCGATGTGCCTTCAGCGCAGTAGCTGCGAGTTATATGGCTACGTATCCTGATTGATTTTTTCCCACACGGCACCGTAAAGTGGTAATAAATACTTCGCGCATGCGCGATGCACCTTAGTTTTGGACAGTCAATGCGGGTCTGTACCGCTTGCTAAGGTGCAACTTAGCTCCTTGACGGGGCTGTGCGGACAATAAGTACACACGACACGGGAGTACAAGTAATGTACTCTGTTGTAACGTAATGTACTATGATTCGTGTGGAGAGAGTTTATATTTATAGTTCCTATTCTTTTGTGTTGCAGGCAAAATTGGACAAGAGTCAAAATGGAAAACCTTCGCGAGTCATACACATTAGAAACATCCCCAACGAGGTGTCCGAGGGTGAAATTATTCACTTGGGCATGCCGTTCGGACGCGTTACCAACGTCCTTGTTCTCAAGGGCAAAAATCAGGTAAGACTCTTGATTAAATATTCCTAATAAATTGATTTAAAAAATTGTCGCGAACAACTGGATCGAAGTGCATTTAGCCGCTTGCATGAGTCGTCGAGAGAGCAAAAAGCCAAGACGATAAAGGATAACGGTATAGTCACATATACACACACACACACACACACACACACACACACACACAAACATAGTTGGAATGGAATCACGCGTACGCGCGCGTTCAGGCGCGGTTCGCCGGGTGTGCAACAGGGGAAAACAATCGAATCGACGATCGGCGTTTATCCATTATCTGGAAACAAAGGCGCTCGCGCCGTGGCGTTCTCGATTGTTTATTACCTCGAGCCCTTCCTGCCGGGGGCTTAATCTGACTTAACTCCCTTTCGCGCCCGTTGCTCACTCTCTGCTGCTACCCTAAAACAACATCTCTGCAGGCTGTGTGTGTCTATGGACTTGTGGACTGATGCCGAAGGTACAGATTTTTTTTTTTCTTTTTTCTCTTTTTTTCTACACGCTTGCTTTTGTATCTTTTATTTCGAATATTTAAAGAAACCCGCAAATAATAATCATAGTTAATCCTCCGGGTAGCCACAGTATACTGCACACATTGGAAAGATTCATTTTAAAAAATTAGAGTAGCATTGATCCGCTCGTTGTATTCATTTTTTGTCGATTTAGCGATCGCTCGTGTTTTCGCGAAATAATCATTGGCTCGAAAATACTGATAGAAAGCGATTGAATTAGCGAATGGAAAGCCTTGCGGTTGAACGTTATACCGTTGAAAATCTTCTCTTTTGTATTCATTTACTTTCCCATTATTTCTGTTATGACTTGTTTGATGCTTCAATGTCGGACAATTTTATCCAAAATCCAAAAGAGATATTAGAGTAAATCGAAAGGGTACGGGACGCCCGATGCATCAAACGGTAGAGAGAGAGCATATTTGCAGTCTCCGACAAACGCAAACAGAAGATAATACGCACAGCAGCTTTCGATACCTTTATGCTCACTTCAGAGCAGCAGCAGGAGCAGCTTTGCGTGTACTCTGCATAATAGGCAACAATTTTGCCAAGCAACGACGTCAGCTCGTTTATGGATTAACCGACAGAGCCGGACAGGGGATCAAACGCGCGTGCGACTCGGGATTTTCGGGAAAATTAACGTGTCCAGCTGCGCGAACGTACGTTTATGCGTGTATTGTTATCAGTCGCGGTCGATGCTACGCGCGTAAACTGCGTCGCACATTCGCGCGCAAGTCGATACCGGCTAATCTCGTTAACTTTATTCAAGGATGAGAATGAAAATTGCTCGCGCGTCGCCTATTTCCATTTGTGACATCTGTTTTTGCTAGTTTGTTGTTCGACGCGCCCCGAACGATTGCTCGTGACAATATCGATAACGTCCGTTCGCTTATTCGCCGCTTTATTTACCTATAGCCGACTTTTTCTCTTTTGAACCGCGCCTTGCCTCGCTACACTTACGCGTGCGCTCCCTCTCGACTGCGAACGCCGCGGGATTAAAACAATAGCAAATCACGCTGAACGTTGACTAGGAACGCGGCCGTTGCGAGAGTCTTTGCAAGTCGGCAGCGTGCGCGCTCGCTCGATCGATTAACGACACGCAAAATCCGGCCCCGCGCATTCATAAATAATTATCGACGCGGGATCATTATCATTCGCGCAACTCCTCCTCTTGGCTCATTATTAAATGATAGCAGGGATTTGGGGGCTCGCAATTGCGAGATTTTTGGACTGCGCGCGTGCGCGCGTGCATGCTAATGCCTCGTTAAGCGCAGGAGGGAGGTACTTTTTGATTTTTCGTAATTGTTGTAAATGGTGCAAGGCTCGCCCAAGCGACTATAGGGCTTTGCACTTTGTAAATTCGTTCTATACACCAGGGTTTATCGACAAAAGACCGTGTGCGCGCACATGACGGGGATTGGAATAATGCGCATATTTCGTTGCGTAAAACTGATCTGGTATCAGTTACAAAGCTATTTCTAATTAATTGAAACTGACTGTTTTGAGATGGCATCAAAGAATTTATTCAATATAAGCAATTCGTGCGCTGTGTGTAACGTACAAATTAACCGGCATTCCCGCATGATTCGATTGAGGGGGGGGGGGGGGGGGGCATTGGCAAATCAGCCACTCGTGAAATTCAATTATTTACTTATTTAAACTATCATTAATTACTTCCCACGGAATTAAACGAATCCGCGGGCCGACCTAATCTACCGCAAAATGTACTCCATCCTGGTGGGTTTAATTTTCTATTATTTCCTTATCACTTCTGCAGTCGTTTATATCAAATACAGTGCGTGATTTAGCAGAATTTTGAAATGTGTAATAGTAATTAATTGCCGCAGTTGAATATTTTTAGTACACGCGCGAGAATCGAGAGCTAAACAAAATGAAGTAGAACGAATGAAAGAGTCCCCTTTAATGCAATAAATTTTATATCCAAAAAGTATAATGTAAAAAAGAAAACCTTGGTCGTAAAGCGGGGATCCAACAACAACAACAACAAAGCTAATTAAACAGTCAGCGATGTGAGAGTATAAAAGGACCAAAAAATAAATAAATAAGCGAGACAAAGAAGAAAGTGTTGTACACTGTGGAAACCGAAACTTTGTTGATAGATCGTTAGGTCGGTTGTGTACTGGTCTCTCGCTGGCGCACAATGCGAACTTTGTTGCGGCTCTCGTGTCTTCGCCGGGGCTAGCGAAACACATTCATAATTCGCGATAGCCCGGCGGCTCTCTCTCTCTCTCTCTCTCTCTCTCTCGTTGTAGTCGTCTAACTAACTTACCGGAAACTTGGCGAATCAAAGCAAATACGAGACACGCCCGCGGGGGATGACCGCCGCTCTCGGGCGAAACTCGCCTTTCCGCGAGACGGAGGGAAGAGCAACAGCATCACTATGTTTATTCCGCTGTTAATGTATTTGCCTTGGTTCCGCCCCCTTCTCACGAGCTAATCGTCCTCCGTCTGTTGTTGATTGCTTTCATTTTAATGAGGCTAATTGCCGTTTTGTTTCGAATGCATGCGCTCGACCCCCGTCCTCCCTTCAAGCGTTGATTTTCTGCGCGTCGACCCCGTACCACCTAACTTTACCTCATTACCTTTCACTATTATTCATCAATTAGCCTCATGTAAGCGATTAAGTATGTTATTTATTTCTTCGCCGTGAATCTAGAGAATTATCCGAAGAATTTAATTAATAATGAGATCTTAGTAATCAATCAAATGTTACGACGCGATTTCGGATGACCTGCCGTGTCAAAGTTAGACGTAGAGGGTAAATAATCCTTCCACGAATCTCAATTCATCTGTTATAAATGTATATCTAATCATCAACTGAGGAACAAATTCGTCGAAATGTCAGCGAACCGGAAAAGAGAACACGGTCAGAAGAAAAAAACCAACCTTCCACGAGCCCATACATTAGTGAGGGGAAAAGGGGGTGGTAAGGTAAACGAAGCGTCAACTGGTCGTCGTGTGTTCAGGGCTGCGTGACTCCTGTGAGAGTTGAAGACTTTTTATCAGGTTGAGCGCGCATTTAATAGTCGGAATGTGGGTTCCTCGTAATCAAATGTAAGGAGGCTTCTGCGAGAGAAAAAGAGAGAGAGAAAAAATAAATCAGCGCGCCTTCCCCCTCGACATATTAGGGACGAAGAAACGCGCTGCCCGTCCAATGATAAACACAAGCCATTTTGCATATTAATGCCGCTCGAGTTCCAACGTCGTTTGTCGACGCTGATGACGAGTCTTAGTCTACGTTTACGGCTCTCGCGCGACGACGTGCTTTCATTTCGCAGTAGTATGAGTCAAGTCGTGCCAGCCAAATTGAAAGAATTCCAGGCTCAAGTTCCTTTTAAGCTTTATTAAAAACTCAAGTGGTCGAATATCGCGAATTCAAAAGTAGTGTCAATAAGTCAATTTATCCGCCAATACGTCTTGTTGTCGTGCAGTCGACAGTACGGACAGCGAACGATATATAGCTAGCGGATCATAAATCAATTTTCGAAGATTGCAATCGGTATATACTGGGGGAATCCAGAAATTGTTTCCTCTCTCTCCCGTTAGCAATTACTTGGAAGCGCGGTCAGAGCAGCTGTCTTATAGTTTCACAACACACGTGTATATGTGGCCGATGTATAGGGAAGGTGTAGTCCATATTTAAGTAACGGCCACGTTACATGCAAGAACCGACAACTCCACTGATGATTGATAGATCTGCCTTCTAGATTTGACACATTCGAGGCTTAGCTTTGTTTATTTAAATTTCAACGAACTTGTCCCCGACAGAGTCACCGCTCGAATGAACAAACAGTTTTCGATTTACTCTTTGAAATGTTGACAAATGAATGAATCAAGTCAAAGATTAATGTCGGACATGCATGTACTTTAAAATTGAAAGGATTATTTCGAATGTAAATCTACGTAAACGAAGCTAATTAAATTCTATTTAAATCTCAATCTGCGAGTATAATACGATTCTCGGAATAAAAATCACACGCAAAGGAACAGAAGGAGAAAAAGTAATCGTCAGGAAATGTCAAGACGAGCGATAAACGTGGAGTTTTCGTGCCGGCGTTCGAAAAGTGAGTCGCTACAAGAGTGAGAGAGAGAGAGAGAGTAAGTGGCGTCGGGCGAAATCCAGCCGGACGTGTCATCGTTGCAGGGCAAAGATCTGCGATAAAAAAAAAGAGAGAAGAGAATAAGAAAATGCAACAATTGAGTGCGGTGCACAAAGTTTCAGGGCGCCCCGAGACATTTTCGTCTGTATTTGCGCGCGGCCAACTTTAATTGAATTTAAATTGAATTTAAAATATTAATATCATGAGAGAGAGAGAGAGAGAGAGAGAGAGAGAGAGAGCGAGCGAGAGCGAGAGCGAGAGCGAGAGCGAGAGCGAGAGCGAGAGCGAGAGCGAGAGAGAGAACAGCACGGTGTATCAGTGTTCGTGAGTAGCACGGGGCATTATATCTTTCTCGTTTCTCTCT